ACGCCCGGCTGATTTTTTTATTTATTGTAGAGATGAGGTCTCGCCTGCCCAGGTGGGTCAGGAACCCGCGGGCTCAGGCAATCCACTCACCTCAGCTTCCCAAAGGCGCGGGATTACAGGCTGAGCCACCAAGCCCGGGCCAGGTATACCAGTGGCCATTGTAGAGCTGAGGAGGGGTGACCCATCAACTCTCATGTGGGGGGAGGATGTCTGTTTTCTCACTTGACACACTCAGGTCAGCTTAACTGAACAGGGGCATGAATCCTTGCTCCTAGGTATATGAGGACTTACAGAAATAGGACCATCTTATTTCCTCATGTTATTCCTTGATGGTGCTAGACCCAGAGGTGCCCAAACAGACAGGTCCTTGAATGGAGATGCTCAGTCTCATCAACTTCAGTTCAGAATGTGCTTGCTAGAAGTTTAGGGAGGGAAGAACAAGTTTTCTATACCTCAGTTTCAAGTATTTGTTCTTCCTATATTTATTAATTGCTTATTGTGTGCCAGGCACATGTATATACGCTGGTAAAGCGTTGGTAATCAGAACTCTCCGCCTCTTAGAACTTACATTCTAGTGGAGAAAGATGTAGTTTATACTGATGGTAAAGAATACTGTAAGCCGGGCTCGGTGGCTCAGCCTGTAATCCCGCGCCTTTGGGAGACTGAGGTGAGTAGATTGCCTGAGCCTGCGGGTTCGAGACCCGCCCGGGCAGCGAGACCTCGTCTCTACAATAAATCAAAAATCCACCAGGCATGGTAGCGCGTGCCTGTAGTTCCAGCTACTTGGAAGACTGAGGCGGAAGGATCGCCGGAGCCCTGCAAGTTGAGGCTGCGGTGGCCAGGAGCAGCCACTGCACTCCAGTCTGGGCGACAGAGTGAGACTCCGACTCAAAAAAAAATAAAAAAATAAAAAAATCAGCCGGGCATGGGTAGTGCATGCCTGTAATTCCGACTACTCGGAAGGCTGAGGCGGAAGGATCGCCGGAGCCCAGCGGGTCAAGGCTGCAGTGGCCGGGAGCAGCCACTGGGCTCCCTCCAGTCTGGGTGACAGAATGAGACTCCAACTCAAAAAAAAAAAAAAGAAGACAGAAGGAATAGCTTTAATGCAGGGTTTGAGAAAGGGCCGTTGCAGATGACTAATTGGTGTTTGAATCCCTAATCACGTCCCAGGCCACTCCAGAACACAGAATTGTTGGTGCCTAGGCGTTTTGCCCAGTTTTCTTGCACCTGTTATTTTCCCTGGAAATTGCTTTGTTGCAGCTGCCTTGCCCAAGCCTCACATCACCTTCCGTCCTTGTCTCCGCAGCCACCAAAACCCTCAACAGGGGCATCTCTGAGTTCATTGTGATGGCTGCAGATGCTGAGCCACTGGAGATCATTCTGCACCTCCCACTGCTGTGTGAAGACAAGAATGTGCCCTACGTGTTCGTGCGCTCCAAGCAGGCCCTGGGGCGGGCCTGTGGGGTCTCCAGGCCTGTCATCGCCTGTTCTGTCACCATCAAAGAAGGCTCACAGCTGAAGCAGCAGATCCAGTCCATTCAGCAGTCCATCGAAAGGCTCTTAGTCTAAACCTGTGGCCTCTGCCATACTTTCCCAGCTGACTCCTCCCCCTGAGGTTGTGTATCGTATTGTCTGTGTTAGCATGTAGTATTTTCAACCACTTTCCATTATTATAAAATATTATTGTACTAAATCTGGTTTCTGGATTTTTGCATTGCTTTTGTTCTGTTTGTACAAGGTTGTTTTCCCTCCTCTCCCCTTCCACCCTCTCTCTCTGTCACCCTCCATCCTTTTAACCCTCTCTTTTGAAAAATGAACAAATGCCCAGAAGAGATGGAAGCAAAGCGGTGGCACCATTCAAAGTCAGGAAAAGCCAGGAGAAACCTGACAGAGCCAGGATATAGATCTGGTTCCAGCTTCCTACTGTGTGCAGAGTATGATGAAAGTGAGCATCCACTTTGTATCCTTGTGCTTGGCATATAGAATCATTCATTTGTGTTAAATTGCTTTAGGGGATTATGTATCATTTGGGGAGAAAGCATGTGTTCTGTGAGTCATTAGGCTTATACCCAAGTGTCATTTACTAATGTAACCCTGCTGTTTGCTTTTGGTCACATGATATGTTCTCCCCCACTTCCCTAACCCCAACCATATCCCTGAGGGTGGCAGGGCAGCAGCATACCAAAGAGATGTGCTGCAGGATTCCAGAGGCAGCCTGGGTGACAGACATGGGGCTGTTGGCCTCCATCTTGAGTTGGGAGTAGCAAGGCAAAGAGCATGGACTAGTGCTGGAGTAAAGGATTCCGGGAAGATGGTGGAGACCTAGCTGGTAGCTACAGCTGAGGTGATGGAATTCAAGGAAACAACCTCTCTTTAAATGGGGATTTATTCAGTGGATACGTGGCATCAGCTCTGAGAGCCCTTACCCCTGTTTCCTGCCACGATGTGGGTCAGATGTATTCTTTGTCATATGGGAATGCTAACGTGTCCTTCATTCATGTGAGCATCTTAATAAATAAATATATTCAAATTCCAATTTAATAAAAGTGTTGCAGTACCTGATTCTTAGTAGATATCCAGCTAGTATCTGACTGAAGAAATATTTAGCGTTACTAGAGTGGTTATAGCTGCTTAAACTTTTTTGCCAAAAGGTTATGAAAAACTGCCTCCTACCAGGCAGTTTCTGGTTTGGCAGTTTATCACTATAAAACAGGCTTTCTCAACCACTACACTGTTGACATTTTGAATTTGTAGTAAGAGGCTGCCCTGTGTGCCGTAAGATGTTTAGCAGCATCCCTGGCCTCTACTCACTGGGTGTCAGCAACATCCCCCCACCCCCCCAACCAAAAAATGTCTCCAGACATTGTCAAAAAAAAATCACCCTGGTTGAGAATCATTGCAGAATTAGGGTTTCTAGTAGCCTTTGGCACATGCAGGACTGGTATTAGTGACTGAAGCCACTGCTAGCTTTACCTACCTCTTGTAATTGTCCCTTGAGAGCCTAATACCTCAACTTGAGAAATCTCCCAAGGTGCAAATAACTGGGTTCCATACTAGTCAAATAAGGATTGATTTCCTCTTGGCCAGCTTGGGCCAGTGTACCTCTGTTCCAGCAAGAAGCATACGTGGGGGAACCCAGGAACCACCTTGCCCTGCCAACTAGTTAACATTGTTTACATCACCTCCACCCCTGAAAGCAGCTTTATATTTATCTTTGGATGGTGGAGCTTAGTGCTTATTTTTTTAGTTGGAGTCTCACTCCATTGCCCAGGCTGGAGTGCTGTGGCATGCTCATGGCCACCCCAGCGTCAACCTGCTGGGCTCTGGCAATCCTTCTGCCTCAACCTTCCAAATAGCCAGAACTACAGGTGCACTATCACACCCAGCTATTTTTTTTTTTATTTTATTGTAGAGATGAGGTCTCGCCAAGTTGCCTGGACTGGTCTCAAACCCCGCAGGCTCCCAAAATGTGTGCTTGTTTTTTTATACAGTCATGTGCTCAACATTTCAGTCAACAACAGACCACATGTATGACACTAGTTCCCTAAGATTATAATACTGTTTTGTTTTGTTTTGTTTTTGAGTTGGAGTGTCACTCTGTCGCCCAGACTGGAGTGCAGTGGCCGCTGCCGGCCACCGCAGTCTCAACCTGCCGGGCTGCAGCGATCCTTCCGCCTCAGCCTTCCAAGTAGCCGGAATTACAGGCATGCGCTACCACGCCCGGCTAATTTTTTGATTTATTGTAGACATGAGGTCTCGCTGCCCAGGTGGGTCTCGAACCTGCAGGCTCAGGCAATCCACTCACCTCAGCCTCCCAAAGGCACGGGATTACAGTCTGAGCCACCGAGCCCGGCTACCATTTTGTTTTTTACAGTTCCCTTCTCTTTTATTTTTAAGTAGTTTTGATTTCATTTTCATTATAATTCAAGTTTGTTTCAAATTTTTCTAATAGTTTCTGACTTTCTTCCTCAAAATTTAATTCAGTTTCCATTATCAAGAGATTAATAGGGGAATAACCCATGGACATTTGTTTATTAATAGCAGTTTCTCTAAGTTTTTGAACTAAGTCTCTACACAGGGAATTATGCAGTAACCTAAGGCTGTTAATATTCCCACTATATTCACAAGGGAGGTTAAGATTGAGAACATTGTTCCCTTCCATTTTTCAAACCAGCCTTCTAGCTGATTTGTAAAAGGATTGTCAATTCCAGAATTTTTGGTCAATTCATTGGCCAAAGTAGTTAGCCTTTGTAGCATCTTGGTGATAGTTCCATTAGGTGCTTTGTTATTTGGAATAAAAGTATAACATTTCCCCCCAGTATAGCTCAGACTCTCCCTTTCTTATCTAACATCATATCTAAAACCATAAGGTTTTTCCAAGTCATTCAGCTGGTGGCATTCAGTTTCACAATTCCTCTGACAACATTTCTACTATAATTAATAAACCTTTGTTGGTTATAGTAAATGCAATTAATCCAGTTTACATTCTTATTAAGAGTTGACCACCAGAAGAGCGTATACTTGAATCCTGCAGCTATTTGTTTTCTAGTTTTAAATTCACTGGGGACTCCTTGAGGGATTCCTGTAGCATTGATATATATTTGGGGATCAAATGATCTTTATAATGACTTCTTGCTTCTGTTTTGAGAATGAATATTTAGGTTGGAGCAAAGTGCCAGGGTGAATGAGACAACCAATTGAACCAAAGAACAGGTTCCAGCCCATCTGGGCGGTAGTAGGTCTTTAAGTTTCCTTCCTCCACAGTACCACAAATATCTTCTCAGCAGACTTTAAAGTGAGATTAGTTGCCCTCGTGTACACTGAGACATCTGGGACATGGGTTCAAGTTTGCAGTTGCCCTATGGAAGTAGCGAACCCTTCCCCTGTCTAGAGAGACATGAGGAATGATTCAACTTACCCATAGAAAAGGAAGGGATTACCTTCAGATCTGGCTTCTTCAAGGCAGGGTGAAGCAAGGACAGGCTTTTGCATGTCTTGTTTCTCCACGAATCCTTATCTTGGTACAGGGCTAACATACAACTTGTTCTGATGTGGTGTGTATCCCAGCCAATAGGAAATGGAAGCACTTGAGCCTGCAATCATCCTGTGGCACATACATAGCAATCACTCTCATTTAGAGTGGATACATAAATTTTATCCACTCCATCCAGGCATTTGTTTCCTTATAACCAGTTTCAAGTTATATAGTCTATTTTAAATCTTTAATTTCAACTATAGTTACCTTTTTGGGATCATTGCTAGGGAGATTGAAATAATCACTGGGGCTCAGGGTTGGTTTTAGTGTACCTACAACTTCAGTGTTGACTGTAAGAAGGGTTAATAATCCTTGAGGGTCTCATAATGAAACATCAGCACCCAATCCATAAACTCGAGGTGCCACCTCAGGCTTTTGATCAAAAGTAGCAGGATCATTAATAGTCAGAAGTTTAAGGTTACATTCTAAATCTCTACAGGCTGCTGGTTGAATTCCATTAGATAAGTTTATTTGGGGTTTCAAGGACTGTAGGGGCTTCATTGTTTTCTGGGAGGTTGCCATCCAACCTTGAATTTGGGTAGTTCACCATACATTAGCCCAACTGGGACAGTGGCTTTTGTGGGCTTGGGGAGATCCCCCAAAGTTTTCAAAATCTAAATCCTTCTCACCTATAATTGACTCAGGACAAAGATATTTGTCTGCCTGAGATAGTTGTTTTGCTCCTCTAAGTTTCCATAAGGCACAGTTTGATATGCATCAAATTTTATAGTTTGAGGTGATGAGGTTTTAGTCACAGTGATTATCAAGTTAGTGCAAAAGGGATAAGGCTTACCTTTGGTTGCCTGTATATTAATGACTCATAAAGTTACAATAATAATAGAAGTCTACAAGTAATTAGACATTTTGCTGGTTCTCAAGAGAGGAAACATTCCCATTAGCGTTCAGAATTAAGAGACCCTTAACATAAACATCTAATAAAAAATAGATAGGACAATAAAGCAGGCACTATAGGTAGCATTATAAGGAGAACACCAGGAACATTCATGAAGACTAAAGTCCAAATTACTTTTTCTTATTTTTATCTTTAGAGGTTCTATTTAAGAGACAGCCTACCAATCTTGTCTCTGTTTTACCACAGTCCGTGTTATTGATTTATTGATCCAGATATGGTGTGTCCCCCCCCTTTTCTGCCATTAGGACAGCCATTTCAGTAGTTAGGAGCACTTGGTATGTTTCTTCTCAGTTTAACTGGAGCTTGGTTTCCTTCCAAGTCTTGTTCAACACTCAATCATCAGGCTAAAAATGGTGAACTGTGAACTCAAGAGGAGGAGTTTGAACAAGGAGTCCTTTTAATTTAATGGAAGATTGGGTAGAGGAGATGGCTGAAATATATTCTCTTAAAAATTGATCTTTGGTTTTCAGGGTCAGTAAATCTGTTGCTCTACCTAGATAGGGCAACCCATATAATAGTCCACAGGATGACAAACCCAAATCCCTTCGAGGGGCTGTTCTAATTTGGAGGAGAGCTATAGGAAGACATTTGACCCAGGAAAACTTTATTTCTAACATGAGTTTAGTTATATGGGTCTTTAGAGTTTCATTCATTTGCTCTATACATCCTGAGGATGATGAATGCCAGGGCGTTTGAACGTCCCATCACATTTAGAGTGCTGTTGTAATGCTTTGTAATACCTTCAAGGTAAAATGGCTTCCATTTTCTGAATCAATGTTTTCTACTTGACCAAATCTAGAGATTACCTGTTCCAAAAGTATTTTTATTACAGACCCTGTTGTAGTTGTTGTTGTTGAGTATGCCTCATTCCATACAGTAAGATGATCAACAATTGCTAATAGATGCTTAAATTTTCCAACCTTGGGCATTTCAGTGAATTCAAATTGTATACTTTAGAAGGGTCTTAATCCTGAAGGTTTTCCCCCTCTTAATGGCCCCTGATTACTTTTTAATTTATTTTCTGACAAATTGAAGGAAGTATAATTTGTCCTTCACATCCTTCACAGATTTGTGAGGCAGTAGCATAAATACCTATACATTCATAGGTTTTTAAGAGTGCATTCCATATTACTTGAGTTCCTCGATGGCTTTCCTTATGCAGTGTACTCAATAATTCTCTAATAATTGGTTTTTTAACCATCTCTCTTCCATCAGGGAGGATCCACCTCACCTCCTTGTTTGGAGCAGCCCCTACCTTTCTTATCTCTTCTATTTCCTTCTCTCATCCATACTTTAGAGCTAATTCTTCCTCTGTGAGCTATGCCATTCAGACCCTAAGTTGACCTTGTTCTATCCCTACATTAAGGCCCATCTGGACAATTAGGTCTCTGCCTAGGAGATTTATTCCTGCCTCTGGGATGAATAAACATGACCCTGCCATTGTCTCAGTTTCCATTTTTAAATCATGGGTTCAGATATAGGAACCCAAATTCCTTCTCCCTTTACTCCAAAGACTAGAAGTTTTTCTGGTAAAAATGGAATGTTTTGAGGTTGGAAGATTAGGGAGGAGCATTCTGCCCCAGGATCAATGGG